ATGTCCCTACAAAGGACATGAACTCATCCTTTTTTATGGCTGCATAGTATTCCATGGTGTATATGTGCCACGTTTTCTTAATCCAGTCTGTCATTGATGGGCATTTGGGTTGATTCCAAGTCTTTGCTATTGTGAATGGTGCCACAGTAAACATACGTGTGCATGTGTCTTTATAGACTCCATCTCAAATTTTAAAAAAAGAAACTCAGACTTATTTTGCTGAAATTTTAGAGTATATTTTAATTTTATTTGGTTATTATTTAAGACATTGGTAGATTGGTTAATTTTGTCTATTTTAATTAAAAATTTTAACTATTTAGAAAATTATTGTATCACCTTAGTATGAATTTTTTAATGAAACCTATTTCTTTTTGAATGTAAAAATAAAATCATTGACAGTAAACTAAACATATCCCTTTAAAAATGCACTCATTTATACAGTCATCTTGAAAGTACCTTGACATCATAATAAGCATCTGATTCAAATAGTATAGAATATAAAACAAGGGTCTGTACACTAAGGCCCATGGGTGAGAACTCACCCAAAGCCTGTTTTTGTACAGCCCTCAAGCTAAGAATTTTTTTACATTTTTAAAGAGTTATAAATTTAAAAAAATAACAACCAAAAAGAATGTACAGCAGACTAAATGTGGCCTGCAAAGCCTAAACTATTACTATCTGGCCATTTACAGGAAAAGCTTGCTGACCCATGATATAAAATAGTGATATATGTCCAATTTCTGATGTCCAAACCGAAGGTAATTTTCATGTAGAATACATGAAATAATTAGTCTACTGAATTAAGAATTTTAGCTAACCATTTTATGCTTTTTTTCACTATCATTCTTTGTCTAAATTTTTTGGGAGGTAGGGCAGGGGTTTCACCACACTCCCCAGGCTGGTCTCAAACTTCTGGGCTCTAGTGATCGTCCCATCTCAGCCTCCTGAGTATGTTTAAATTTGATAACAAATTATTTTCATTTTTACTGTCTGTCCCTCCTGGATCCCAGATTGACCAACAGAAGAGGAGCAAAAACATATAATCAGTAGTTTTCTATGTTAAATCATAGAATCCTTTCATCAAATGAAATCTTAAAGAGAAGTACAGTGTATAAAACAAATACAAAGAAGACTTCTGATAAAGGGGGTCTGGTGGTATTGGTGGGAAGGGGTGGTTAATATGAGGCAGAGCCTTGCTTGTTCCTCTTTCCGTTTCATCTGTATGGCTGAACAGGAAGGGACTTAAGGAAAGAGTATTGGAGCAGCTTAACAGCTAGCAGTCTAGTATGATGATTCAAACTGGATAAATGGCTTGTGAATAATTATCAATGACTTTGTGTGTCTGTAAATGATTGATACCCAATTAGTGTTCTTTATTTTTATTCTAGGGAAGGAAGGTCTTAGATAAACTATATGAATTAAAAATACACTTTGCAAGTTTAAAAGGACTTATAGGGCCTGAGAAGTTAGCATCAAGATGTCAAATTGTGAATGTTGCAGCAGAAATTTTTCTAAAAAGTGGAAGCCTAGATGGTGCCCTTTGGGTAATGAGGGGTAAGTCCTGATATATGCAAGCATAAAATAACTTGTTAAACTCGTCATGCCTTTTTGTCTATGTAATTGCCTTAAGTTGATATTGAACTGTGGTTAATAGTTTGGTCTAAACCCTAGTGAACATGTGGGTAGGAAAGGTTGTTATGTAAACTGAAAGGGGAAAGTTAACTTAGTGTTAAAGAATAAATTACATGAGCCTTTGTTTGTTTAAAAACTAGTTCTTGGCCAGGCAAAGTGGCTCACGCCTGTAATCCCAGCACTTTGGGAGGCCAAGACAGGTGGATCACCTCAGGTCAGGAGTTCAAGACCAGCCTGGCCAACATGGCGAAATCTCATCTCTACTAAAAATACAAAAATTAGCCGGGCGTGGTGGTGCACGCCTGTAATCCTAGCTACTCAGGAGGCTGAGGCAGGAGAATTGCTTGAACCCAGGAGATGAAGGTTGTAGTGAGCCGAGATCACACCACTGCATTGCACTCCAGCCTTGGAGACAGAGCGAGACTCTGTCAAAAAAAAAAAAACCAAAAAAACAAAAACACTAGTTCTTGCTGGGCTGGGTGTGGTGGCTCACACCTGTAATCCCAGCACTTTGGGAGGCCGAGGTGGGTGGATCACCTGAGGTCAGGAGTTCGAGACCAGC